TTTTGTTTTAAATGATAATGTGGCAAGTAGTGAGCACGGTACATGTAAGCATGTTTCATATGGTATTGTGACGGGTATTTAGGCATAGTTTATAAAAGTAATTTTTTTTTAAATGAAAGATGGGGTAATTAAATTTTAAATGAAGGGACACGATTGTATCATGGTATGGGATACGATTATTTTATATATAAATGTGTGTTCATGTGTGTACAGTACGAGGTGGTTGCTAGTATGGTAGAGTACTTATTGCGGCATTGATGGTTATGTGAGTTTTGACCCTGAGTAGGCGAGGAATTCGGTTGCTCCAAGGTTATTTAGGTGTCGGTTCTTATCGAACAAATGGTGTGAACTTTTAGCTCATGGATCGACCTATTTAGTGCATGGTTGCTTCAGTTTTCTCGTTATTTTTAGGGCATAGTGCTTGAGGCATAACTTTCGAACGATTGCATTTGGCACAGTGCGATGTCAAGGGTGAGACGTATGAGTTTCAGGTGTTAGTGTATGGGTTTTGTGACCAGGAAGCTCAGGTGTGCAATGTGAGGTTTTCGTGAGGTATGTATGACTTTTAGGGGTTAGCGTTTGTGACTTAGGTCACGATTTGGTATTAAGTTTCCCTTCGAACCGGTTTATGGTGGGTGTAATTGAGGTTGTTTGAGTCACGAATGTAGTCTATGAGTTATAGATGTGTATTTCAGGTAGTCAGCTATAGTCCGAGGAAGCGTGTTGATTACGACTGTTTAGGGGACTTATTAGGCTCTGCGTGTCTAGAGTGGCGTAGGCATTGACCGGAGTCATGCCAGTGCCGGACGACCAATTGCAGGATAGATTGCCTAAATAACAAAAGCTTCTCCTATAGTTTCAGGTATAAATTGATCTTTCATCTAATTTAGGTTTGAGTAACACTAACTTCCCCTGCCATAAAATCTGACACTCTTGTCTGCTAATTTTATTCTTAATATTTACTTAAAATCCGATAATGCCATTAGAAAGTTTAAAAAAACTATTTTGTTCATAAGTAATAGATATTTTACATTAAAAAACAATAAAAAGTGTAATGGGTACAATAGTAATTTAACAAATTCGAGTCAAAATCAACACAAAAGAGGTTCTTGTTATTTAGGCAATTTAGAGGAAATATAAGTGTAATTATCTAATTTTATTATTTTATTATTATTTTTTATCTAACAAACTAAGAAAAGAAAGACTTGAATATGGGTATACTTACTCAGAAAATCGGGCATTCTACCAACTGGATAATGCCTATACGTATCCTTTTATTATCAACCAAACCTTTTATTAGAGTAGCTCCAACGACTCAGAATTTAGAGATTCTGAGCCTTTTTTAGCTATTGGATTTCTCTAATAGGGTTTCCAAAAAATGGGCCCCATGTTTTGGGTCGTGAAATGAGTCGCCCTTTTTGGCGACCCAGTTAGCGATTGCAGGCTTCTGACATGCAGACCCACCTTTTTTTGGATTTTTAACTTTTGTGGCCCAGCAATATTGTAGCCCAATAACACTGTAGCCTAGAATACAACACTGTAGCCTAGAATACATTTAAAGGCGTGTTTGGCAGTGAAAAAAATTCCAAAAATCAGTTTTTTTTTTTTTTCCCTCAACATAATTGAACTAAAAAGCCGTTAAGGCACTGTTTGGCTAACACAAACAGTGCCTTAAAGGCTTTTTTTAGGCTAAAAAATGTTTTAAAAAATTGGAAAAAAGTGAATTTTTTTTCCTTTTCAAAAATTTTAATGTTTCTATTGACATTATATCCGTTTTAGGTACTGTTGTACTGTTTAACGGCTATATTGGCTAACCAAACAATTTTTTTCCCTAACAAATAGAAAAAAATAATTTATTAACAATTTAAAAATATTAAAATATTAAAATTTTTGGAGATCAAAAATGCACCATTGGAGTACATGCGATGGCTAAAATTTGGAGACTCTAAGAGCAGCTCCATTAGTGCTCCGTTTGGCTAAAATGGCCCAAAATTTGGAGACTGTTTGCTCTAATGGAATATGAGAAAAGTGGGCCACCAATTTTTGATCGCTAAGCAGGTTGCCAAAAAGAGCGATTGGGAAGGCGATTGTGGCTCACTTTTTGTGGGCTCATTTTTGTTTTCTTTTATTTTTTTAATTCGGGCCGAGAACACTTTACCAATCCAGAACACAAATCTTACGGGCATGTTTGGCTGAAATAAAAGCTAAAATTTAGATTTTTGGCTTTTTTTGGTCTTTTTTTTTTATAATTAAAATAATTGAACAAAAGAACCGTTAAGGCACTGTTTGGCTAACACAAACAGTGCCTTAAAGGCTTTTTTGGGTAAAAAAAAAAGTTTTAAAAAATTGAAACAAAGTGATTTTTTTTTTTCCTTTTCAAATATTCCAATGTTCCTATTGACATCATAGCCGATCTAGGTACTGTTTGGCGACCTAAACAGTGCTTTAACGACTATATTGGCTAACCAAACAATTTTTATTTTTTTATTTTATTTTATTTCCCTAACAAATTGAAATATATTTTAAAATATAATTTTTTTTATTAAAAATAATGTGTCTTTGTTTTCATTATAAATTAATAAATCAAATGATATTAGATATTGTATTGTTTACAAGATTTCATACATATTGGCTAAATAATTTAATCAACAAACAATTTAATTATTTTTTTCAAAATAAAACATTATACAATAAATATTCCATTACATAAATTTCATAACAATTTAAAAATAAAATAATGCAACATAAATTAAACACGTTCTTCACTAAAGCGATTCCACAAATTTTCAATTAAATCTTTCCTCAACCGCGTATTTGACTCTTTGTTGCGAATTTGGACTTGGCGAGAATAGATGTGTGCCACTAAGATTGATGGATTTTGAATTAAAGTGGGAATCGAGATTGTCTCCTTTGGCGGCGGAGTCCATCTTCCAACATTGGCATGGCGCTCATCTTCAATGATCATGTTGTGAAGGATGATGCACGTTTTCATTATAACGCATAAGTCCCCTTTATCCCAAAAATGCACTGGTCCTTGCGTTTTTTCCCACTTGCTCTGCAAGACCCCAAAAGCTCTTTCCTACAAGCCTCTTGTCTCTGAGCAAAAAGTTTTTCTTTTGCTGTAGTTGGGTAAGGGATTGTCTGCATCAAAGTTGCCCACTTAAGGTATATACCATCAGATAGGTAATACCCCATTGTATGGTAATGGCCATTCACAACGAAATTAACCGGAGGAATTTGGCCGGTAACGGTGCTGTCAAATACCGGAGAATGATCCAGTACATTAATATCATTGTGTGAACTCGACATTTCAAAGAATGCATTCCAGATCTACAAATCTTTTGAGGCAATCGCCTCCAATATGAGCGTAGGCGTATGAGAGCGTCCTTTGTGCGTGCCATGCCATGCCACCGGATAATTTTTCCACTCCCAGTGCATACAGTCGATAGAACTAAGCATACCAGGGAATCTTCTCTCCTACCCTTCTAGAAGTAGTCGTGTTATGTCGGCTTCGTTGGGTGGGCACATGTACTCTTCCCCATACACACCAATAACAGCTTTACAAAATGTCATCAGAGTTTCAATGGTAGTGCTCTCGCCGATTTTAATATACTCATCACAATGATTGGCTGCAAAACCATATGTAAGTATACGTATTACAGTTGTCATCTTTGAAACTCTAAACCTGCAGCAATGAATATGTATTGCTTATATCTTGTTGTTTCAATGATAACAATTATCTAAGCAAGTATATTTGGATTATTGAAGCATCAAAAGGAAATGTGAATTGGAAAATGGTCCGGTTCACTTTGAATGAAGTTAGCAACAACCCCAAATGACCTGTTGCATCCCTTTTTTTGGATGAAGTAGTTGTCATAAGCTTTAACATCATTCAGGATACGAAGAAATAGTTCTCGTCGCATCCTGAATCATCTGTGAAAGTACTCCGGTGGATATGTGCAATTCTCGTCAAAGTAGTCTTTCATTAGTTAACGGTGGCTTCCCTTTCGATCACGATGAATGTACCGCCTCTTACGCGGTTTAAAAACTTGCTTTACTATCTCTGGGTTCACTGAATTCAAAATCTCACAAAAGGCGTCTTGATTACGTTGAATCATCGAGTCAATAAGGTTATTTGATGAAGAGGATGATGAAGAAGATGAAGAATTAGAGCCTGACAAAGGAAAAAATCGTGATGAAGAAGCCATTGGAATTTTGAGATTGAAAGAGATGTGAATTGATATTTTGCTAGAATAAGTTAAGATGAATGTAATGATGATAAGATGACCAAATGGTTGTTTATATAATATGAAAAATATAGTCGTTAGGAAAAAGTTAAAAATAAATTTTATTTAAAAATTTAAAAGTATTAATGTTTTTGGAGAGCGAAAATAGTACATGCGATAGCTAAAATTTAGACTCTAAAACGCTGACGTGGCTATGAAAAATGCTGATGTGGCTATTGAATAATGCTGATGTAACAAATTCGGGGAGCCTAATTTTAGAGAGTCTATTATAGATACTCTAAAACGCTAACGTGGTTATGAGAAATGTTGATGTCACTATTGAAAAATACTGATGTAGTAAATTTGGAGAACCTAATTTTAGAGAGTGTATTGGAAATGTTCTAAAAAATCAACATAGTTATAAGAAATACTGATGTAATTATTAAAAAATATTAATGTGACCAATTCAAAATGTCTAATTTTAAAGAATATATTCGAGACGCTGTTATCAACCAAAAGTTGATCTCATCATGTCAGCACAAAAATACTTATCAATCCAGCAATGTGGCTAATGAGATTGGTTTCTTTTTATAGCTTTTCTCTATGTGACTCGGGCCGCTTGGCCTATATTTATGAAGTCTGCTAATAATTATCTGACGTTAAATAAATGCTTCCAACCATTCAAATCTCAAAGTGAAAGCATAAATGCTTTAGGTCCCACTAATCACCTACCGTTCTGTATATTATACACATAATGTCAGCAAGGCTTTATAAACATTGATGACCAATAAGACTTGAACACGTCAGCAGAATTGACTATGCCGGCAATGCCGTTCCCAACTATCTCCCAAGGTTCTTCCCAATCTAAAGCCGAATCTCAATCATTTCCAATTCTAAGTTTCTGTTTGAATTATCAACAGATTCGATTCCAAACCCACCATTTTCAAATTGGAATTGATCCCCCAATTCTTTGGTAAATGTCCAAGTGTTTCAGCTTCACGGCATTGCAAGACTGGTGCTACAGATATTCATTCAGCAATGCCGGTCTGAAATCGACCACCACCGATCTCGGCGACGGCACGGTCATCCACTGCTGGGTCCCCAAAACCCACAACCCCACCAAGCCCAATTTGCTCCTCATCCATGGAATCGGAGCCAACGCGATGTGGCAATGGAACGATTTCATATCCCCACTGGTTTCCCAATTCAACGTCTATGTCCCGGACTTGGTGTTTTTCGGGGACTCGTACACGGACCGGCTTGATCGGACCGAGTTGTTCCAGGCTCAGTGCTTCATGAGGACGATGGACGCTCATGGGGTGCGGAGAATGAGCGTGGTGGGGCTCAGCTACGGTGGGTTTGTTGGGTACAGCTTGGCGGCGCAGTTCCCGGAGGCGGTGGAGAGGGTGGTGATTGGATGCGCTGGGGTGTGCATGGAAGAGAAGGACATGGAGGATGGTATGTTTAGTGTGGGGAGTGTGGATGAGGCGGCCAGTATATTGCTGCCGCAGACGCCGGAGAAGTTGAGGGAGTTGATGCGGATTTCCTTCTTCAAGCCGGCCAAGAACATGCCATCTTGTTTTCTTACTGATTTCATAGATGTAAGTCACTAAACTTCAATTTGCTCAATTCCTTTGATTTTGAATTGATACATTTATGAGGGCGGGCCTCGGCGCAATTGTAAATTTTGCTGCATTGTGATTTGGAAGTCAAGGTTTAGAAACGGAAACGTCTCTTGCACAGAGATAAAACTGTGCGTATCTGACTCACCCACTAAAGTGGGATCCTCATTTAGGCCATATTTAATGAGCACACACCCATTTATTGTTTTATTGAATATTCAAATTCTCAAATTTTTATTTAGAAAGAAGAGGGGATATCAATTGGACTAAGCCCTTGGTTGAATTGATATATAGTTGCAGTGAAATTGTTTAATTTTTTTAAATGGTCACATATTGAAAATTGTTATTTTCATTTGGAAACTTGGGCAGTTGGGTCATTGATTGATGCAGTGATAAAAAAAAACAAGGACAACATGAGTTTGACTGTTGAGAGCAGTCACTTTATGCATACCTGGTAATAGTGCTAAATGGGGGCGATATAGATTGTAATTAATAAGGTTTGATAATGAATTGATACACACATATATTTGGTAGGTAAGTCACATGTACACACCCATTATTGTCTTCTTGAGATTCAAACCATTAACCTTTCAGGAACAGGAGATACTAATGGGAATAAGCCCTTGGTTGAATTGACATATGGTTGTAATTTAATTGTTGAGTTTTTGAAATGGTCACATATTGAATATTGTTACTCTTCATTTGGAAACTTGGGCAGTGGGGTCATTTATTGATGATGTGATTAAAAAATAGGACAACATGAGTATGAGTGCCGAGACACTTTCTGCATATATGGTAATAATGGTGCACAGGAGCGATATTGGGTGTAATCAATAAAGTTTTTTGTAGATCATATTTAATGCTTCACAAGCTTTTTTTGTCATCAACATAATTGCACTTTTTAATGCCAAAACTAGCTTCTAACTCGGGTCATGTTCCTAGCACTGCTCAATAATGTTTGATGAAGTCACCTAAATAGTCTCTTCTTCAATGTGAACAAGATGTGTATATGAGTTATTCTCAACAAAGAAAAGTAAACAACTTTTGTTGTTGGGGCCTTCGGATCGTATCTTCTTTTCATTTTCCTATATTTGACTATAATTTAGACTAGGTGTTTTGCTTCCTAATAGTTGAATGCATTTTGAGCATTTGAAATCTTAGTTTAGTAGTCTTCCATTCATTGTACGGTCTTTATTTTATTTTGTTTTATCTTATAATGGATTTAGCATTTTGATGTTGGTCATTAGTGATGCAAAAGAGTTGGATAGTTCTTATTTAGTTTTGATAGAGTTCAATCCAATTGTAAGAGAAAAACGGAGATGGACATTACATAAAAAAAAAAAAAAGGTAAAAAAAAAATAAAAGAATAAAAACTGGCACTATTATGACCTCTAGCACCTGTTTTTTGTTTCCCTTTTGAAAATTTTTAGCCAGTTCTACTAAGGATACCATGTATAAAGGAGTTTTCAACCCTAATCATTTAGGAGTGTTGTGTCGATCTGTGATTTAATTACTCATTGAAATAACTCCTGTTCAACTACGTCCTTTGTGAATTGAGGTTCTTCTACCATCTCATCTCAATAAATGTGGTTTTAATAGGCCATGAAACTTCTATAGAGGTTATTTAATCCATGATTTCTGCTTATATGTTCACTATAGCATCAAGTAATTTATTCTGGGGCTGTAAAAGTAATGCCAAGTCTCTTTTTGAATGCCTTTTTATATATTTTTTACTTTATCAAAAAAAAAAAAGTAATGCCAAGTCCAATATAACAAGAGGTTGTTTGATTTGTGCCAAAAAACCAGATTAAGGCATCAATGTTATGTGAGAATAAAGCTGAGACTAAGACATTACAAAAATGAATGAAACACTTGTGACGTCAAAAGGATTTTATGCGAGTTAAGATTGACTAAAATAAATGGAGGAATTAAAGGCGGATGAAGGCTTGACGGGCATCGAATGTTACTGATAACAAACTACTTGCTATCTTGAAATACTGAGATTAGTAGTTGTCTATCAAGAAGTCATTTTCTAGGTTCTGAATTTAGAATTGATATGAATGACAAATGTATGATCAATTATAATTAGTGTCTTTTCCTTTATTTTCCCAAACAATGGATCTTTTTGAATTGATTTTATAATTGGGAACCAATAATGTGTTCTGGCTGTAATTTGGTTGTGCGTTCAGGTGATGTGTACGGAATACCTTCAAGAAAGAAAAGAATTGATCCAAGCATTGCATGAGAACAGAAAACTCTCTGATCTACCAAGGATTACCCAGGTTCCTGTATATCTAGTTTTCGCATACTCAGCATGTATCTCCAGTTATTATCTCTAAATTCCTTATTTGATGAGCATCCTCTAATGGTAAGATTTCTATGGTATGCAGCCCACACTAATAATCTGGGGAGAACACGATCAAGTGTTCCCACTTGAATTGGGACACAGATTAAAAAGGTCAAGCTGAAATATTTATTGAGTAATTGTATTTCTTTTGTTAATTGCTTTGGTGCTTTGCTTGATTTCTGAAAAGAGGGCGGTGATACAAAGATAATCGGAATCTTCACATTTTCAGATTTTGAGTGTCCTTCATTTTCTCAGCAACAAGTAAATTGATTTTCTTTTCCAGCCTTATGATATTTGTTTCAAGTTTCGGATTTTGAGTTGTTTGTTTTGTTTTGTGCAGGCATCTGGGTGAGAATGCCCAACTAGAAATCATAAAGAATGCAGGGCACGCTATCAATGCAGAGAAGCCAAAAGAGCTATACAAACACTTGAAGGCATTCCTTATTGATACTCTCCCGCCCCAGGAGCACAAAAACAACAGCAGCAGCCGTAAGGTGGACTAAAAAGTTTAGAGAAAAAATGGAAATCAAATCAAGAGCTGCTAGCTTCTCAGTTTCCCCTACATCTCTTGGACTAAAGTCGCTGCTTATTGCTTATAAACACTTGCACAGAAAACATTTCATTGCTTCCCAGGAAGTTTTGCCAGATCAACAAAAAATCTTGGCTTGATCGCTGTTGTAAAAGTACAAGTTGTTTTCTTCTTTCTTCTGATTCCTTTTCCTGAATTTTTGAAGGATCAGATATCATGGACACAAAGTCCCCTCGTGGGAGACGAACTATCTTTCCACATGGAGGTTATTGAAGCTCTCTATTTTTTTCGTGTTTACTTCTAATATACATAATATAAGCATTTGTAAATTATCGGCATTTTATCAAGCATGCATTTGATGAGATTGTGAAGATTGATCGTGATTCATGTCAATAAAAACATGACTAAATTGTTCACGGGAGCAAGTCCATTGTTGCACTGCATAGCACTTCAGGAAGAAAAGGTGAGAAGGTTGCAGAGAAAGTATTAAAAGGGTATACTCGGTCCTCTTTTGAGTATATGCATACGTATGTATCTATGGTGAAGTCCCTGGATTATGTTGATATTCACGTTCTGTAACTACTTGTAAACAATTTATATGTCAATGTATATATTTATTTTTACACGGAATTAGGTGAATAAAGGTCTGCTTCTGTGATTAAGTTCTTAATATCAGTTGTCGCATACTTTGCCATCTGCTGGATGCTATTTGTTGGTCCCTGTTTCTGTTGGTGTCATCCTTCTGGTCCTTGTTTTTTGAAAATTCAAGCAAATGCACGTGCACCCAATATTGCCCCTATTAAAGCTCGAACACTCAAACTCCCTTTGGGGAGTAGAAATCATACCATTAGTACCAAGACTCAAATACTTGGAACTTCATTTGGAGAGTAGAGATCATACCATCTGAACTAATGTCCATTGGTGTTCTGACTCTTTTGAAACTCTCTTTGGGGAGTACAAATAATACCATCAATACCAAGGCTCAAAACACTCGGAACTCCATTTGAAGAGTAAATAGAGATTTATACCATTTGGGCTAATGTCCGACTCGTTGTTTTGAATATTGTTATTTCCCAGCATCCATCTAACTCTTGCTATTTATCATGGACAGTTGATAGGTAGTATTGGATGATGTATGGACCTAGGCCCATTTCTGGGTGATGTTTTCTTGGATTGTGTATTGGGCTAAGTTTCATGCTTATATAAACTCCCCCTTTTGGGCGGTGATTGGGGCTAAGTTTTTTCATGCATAGATAACAGCAAAATAAGAAAAATATTATTAACCAATATTTTAATTACACTGAGAATTTGGAATTGATAGCTAAAAAGTAACAAGTATAATTTTTATTATGACTGATTTTCGTTAGAGGAGTTAATGGACCTTCTTTTAGGGCCCGTTTGGCGTGCATTTTGCTTTAGATGTTTTGTTTTTGGGTAAAATAGAAACAGTATTTTTACTATTGGAATGTTTTGGCAAAAATCGAAAACACGGTTGGGAACGATATTTTGTTGTGAAAATGTTAAAAACAGAAACATAAAAAACATGTTTGGTAAGCCATGCGTTTCAAGAATTTTGAAAACAAAACATATTTGGTAACTCCAACTGCTGTAAAAAAAAAAAAAAAAAAAAGCAGAAACAAAAAACATGTTTGGTTATCATTGTTTTTAATTTATTTTAAATATATTTATAAATTTATTTCTATATAAATAGTCTATATATTTTTAATAAATATATTGAAATTTGAACGCACAAACATGTGTATATATACACAATGGCAAAAAAATTATAGGCTCGGCATATCTAAGCTGTTTATGTCACTTGCCTTGTATATATATATACAATGGCAAAAAAAATCCTGTCCTGAGAATCTGGCATTTATATAGAAACTGACTAAATAAATCCATTATGCAAACAGATTAGTATACCAAAACAAATAACCAAACACATAAAAAGTTAATGGCTTACTGCATATATTATATTAATCATTCTTCAAAAAATCCAGGAAACTTGAGGTTCTTATTGACAGCAACAATTTATCCCCAAGTCCCAGTACATATCCACTTGTGACAGAGTACAATATGTCAAACCAGAAAAAATCTCAATTCTAAATGTTTAATTAGATACTACTATTACAGTAAACAAGACTTGAAACCTTTCTCTAATTCCTGTCCATCTAAGTTTTTCCCAATGAACACAATCTTGTTTATTCTTGGTTCATCTGGACGCCACAACCGATCCGGTGAACCTTGGAATATATCATGAACTCCCTGTTACACAGACACACCACGGATAGGAAAACAGATCATTAACCATCTATGGGCTATAACATCATGTTTAAGTATTAAAAAGAACTCCTATTCCCTGAACTAAATTTGCAGAAACAGCATCAATAGGTAAGAAATTTGGCATGCCAAAACACAAATAAAAACTAGGTCATAATTTATTTAATACAGGCTCCCGTCTGGCATATAAGAGCATCCAATTTGTTTGGTCGCACAATTCTACTAGACAACTGAAACTGGAGAGGACATATGTCAGTATTGACAAACATCGAGATTTCGACCAAGTTTGATATCTTGATACATAGACATAGATTGTGAGAGACTGATTCCAAAGTGGTATTGAATGAACATGCCAATATCAAGAGAAAAATAAAACAAAAAACAAAGCAAAGATTTTGGGTTAAATTTGTTAAAAATACATCAAGAGGATCATCTAAAGCCATTTGCATTTTACATAGCACACAATTGGTAAGTACATTAGAAGTGAAGTGGAACTGGAAATAGTACTCCTCAATACTCAACTGAAAATTGAAACCTCACATTCATTGATTAATCAACACAGTCTTCTATTTAACTACATAGCCTTGTTCAATTCACATGCTATAGTATCTTTCTTCTTTAATTCTACCAGCGTTAATTGTTTCAGAATAACAGTAAAAAGTATATATGGTTATGCAGAATTCAAATTCAACCAATCACTTTAAACTAAAATATACACGCATAGGAAATATGTAATCTAGAGTTATGAATCCTAGAGAGGAAAACCACTTACAAGTTGCATCAAGTGATAAAGCTTGAGGTGCCAGTATACAACACCAATGCCTTCTCATAAACAGGTTTAATTTTGCCAGAAACTAGAAATATACGAGGGTCACTGCAACCATCAACTGAAGTTTCATAATTACAAGTATACAAAAAGTGCAAGAATTTGTCTACTTTTTGAAAGCCTCTGAAGCTATAAAACAACAAAGAGAATGGGAAAAATGCACCTCAACAACAATTTCAACACCAACGAATTCGATCTGTGGATGAGGTTTTATGGCAAAATAATGTTTGATTTCGAGGGCAACCACATTATGCAAGAAATAATAAAAAAGAAGGTAAAAAAATTTCACCAAATAGGATTTAGTTTGCAAAACAAGAATTACAGAACTTGATTAATTGATTGCTAAAAAAAAATTAAAACAAAACCCATACATACAAGTTAGCAGTTGCAGAGAGAGGGCTTGAGAGTTGAGAGACTACTCAATTTCCCAAAATTGAAAAATTGCCCAAAAGAGAGATTACTCAATTTCCCAAAATTGAAAAATTGCCGTGCATATAAAATTATATCTATGAACTTTAATGAACCAAATCGAACCTCAGAAAACTTGCATTTGTGGTCGTTTTTCAGAAGAAAAAAAAAATAGGGTTTCAAATCAATGAACTTAAATGTTTAAAAAATAAAAAGGCAAAATTTGCTCAAACCTGCCTTGATCTTCGACGAAGACAACAAATTGGTAAAGATCGGTGGTTAGATTGAGCAAAAACACTACTGAAAGCAAGGATCGGTCATCGTTTTCAGCCAAACAAGCACATAGTGTAGAGTCGCCACAAAATCGCCACAATCGTTTATACGACGACCCATTTTTGAGCCACAAACGCTTGAGATTCTCCGATTCCTGCCTTGTTCTTCGACCAAGACAACAAAAGAGCAAAGATCGGTGGTTGGTTCGGTGGATTTGAGCCAAACAAGCACACACAGCACGGTCGCCCCAAAATCGCCTCCGCTCGAGCTCTCTAGAAACCCTAGAAAATGACTGAAATGTTTGGTTTAAGTGGTGTTTTTACTTCCTCCCCTATAGTGATTATTTGGGTCAACAGTACCCAAAACACGGTAAAACACCAAAATGGTGTTTTACTTTTTGGCCCAAAAATTGAATCTGTTTTGATAGTATTGGCAACAAAGTAGACCGAACCAAACATGTTTTGGGCTAAAAAATTACTAATGTAGCAGGCCTGCAACAAAAACACATGAAGCAAAATAGATACCAAACAGGCCCTTAGTTTTCTTTAATAGGTTCTCTTCTTTCATGCTCGTTCTTAGAATTTGGAATTGATAGCTAAAAAGTTACAAGTATAATTTTTATTATGACTGATTTTGGTTAGAGGAGTTAATGGACCTTCTTTTAGTATTCTTTAATGGGTTCTCTTCTTTCATGCTCGTTTGGCCCATTATGGCCAGTTCTGGAGCAACTAAAAACAGGTGTAATTAAAATAAAGAAGAATGGGGTGAGAGAGGCTCGAACTCTCGACCTCAGGATAACTCAGAAGCTATGAGACCTACGCGCTAGCCAACTGCGCCACCACCCCATTTGTGAGAGCTATCGTCTTTATTGTATTTACTGTAGGAGTTTTATGAAATGCATCAAAGTGCATAGACCACAACAAGAAGGTCAAATATATATTACAACTCATCACACTAAATGTACGTATGTGTAATTAGAGAAAATAGGCAAGTGGGTGTGGGATCCACTACCATTGTGGTGGACCCCACACTAATGATGTGGTGGAATTATGTGTTTACCGGACATTAGCAGATTTTGGCTTAAATAGCATACTCCACGTACAAAAGCACCAACACTCCATGTACGAGGCACCAACACACCATTGGCCATCACCCTGAACCCCGAAGTTGCTAAAATGGATGAGAATGCAAAAATCACAAGAAGCATTTAGTTAATCAATTTTGTCTACTAAACTTGGATTTTGCTTTCTATCATTATTTTCAAAATAAATTAGTAAATGAGTCGCGAATTCGGTGCTTTCAAGTGCAGCAATAGAGAGTGAAGCTGAATATTTTTTTTTTCAGTTCTTCACTCTCAAGTAGTTTGGCTTATTGATGTACTTCCATTTTCAGACAAGGGACCATCTTTTTCTCTCTTAATTGCAATTCTTCAATACTGAATATAGATTTTCAAATGAGCAAAGATAAGTTGAACTAAAAAGTCTAACGTTTTTTAATCCAATTTAGTTCGAAACCATTTGGGCTCGACTCTGTAGCATA